AAGATCAGGGGTTCGGGATCTTCATGCCATTTTCTGATTATGGGTCACGGTGGTTACTGACTGAATCCGTCAATTGAACAACAGGACAATCGCAGAATAGTCAGAAGACTTCAAAGAAATTCTGAGCGAGAAAAACGTTTCGCCTTGCGTGACTTGAGCAAAGGGGGTACAATCGGCTTTCTTTATTGATGTTAATACTGACGGTATACGGTGTGTGCTGAGAATACCCTTCCCATTTTGGGCTTTTCTGGCTAGCGACAGGGACGTCGATGATGAGCAGAAAGACAGGTGAAACAGTGACCGGATCTTTCAAAAATCACGGAGCTGAATTTCTTCTGTGCCTTACTTTGGGCTTAAAGGTACAGTTCGCGATAAAAACGGTTTCTGAAATGTTCCCATGGGATGTTTTCGAGACACCTCTTGATACCATATGTGCCGATGTCAGGTCGAGAAACGTCCTGGATAGGGCACAATAATTGGTCAGACATTGTATCGTGTGAATGACGCACCCACAGCGAACGAATCTCAACGGTGTTATGGAGGCTGCACTATCTCAAGGTATTCCCATGTTGGAAGTTCGAACAACCTGCCTTGATCCATGACGACAGTGGAAAGCAGTTTTAGACAGTTTTGACTTGACGAAATCAGCTCCTTCCGCAATGTCACAACTGAAATCTCGTCCGAATACTTTTTCCATGCCATTTCCGCCGGAGTACCCTCGTACATCCCCTATTTCCACCACTTTTGGGAAGCCTTATTCATCGCGATGTGGGCGGATTCTCTCGCTTTCTTCGCCACCGACATCAACATTCCCTCTTTTCAACATAAAAGGGGTACCTCAAAATTATCGTGAACTGTATCGTCGACTGTTTTCAGATCTATTGGAAAAGTGCCAAAACTGCCCTTTCCAGGGTTTTGTTGCAGCAGCAGCATTATCAAATCCCCTGTAACTGTTTCAGCACTTATGATATAATCTTTGGTTCTATCAAGCACTACAACAACTACGAAAGAAAAGAACAAGAGCGATTGTTGCGACAGGCAAAGGGAAGCATACCGATGCCACCATCTGACAGTGGAAATAACAAACTCGTTGCGGTACAACAAGTTTGTTGTTATTGGGAGCTATGGTACCTCTCTAGTATAAGTTTCCCAGTTCGGTCTTCTTGAAGCCCGGGCATTCGCCCAACGTCTTATACTGCTTAGCCAAATTGAACGAATTGCATCAACTCGCGGTATTCGTTAGTGCACTGAAGCTGATGAAAAAGGTCGTAAATTATTTGAAAACCTAGGCTATTTCGAACTACCCAGCAGAAAACAAGACAATATTGGTACATTAAGAGTTTCCACTAGACAATGAACAGTTATTGCTTTTTACCTATCACAACAAATTACATTTAATCTTCCAGAGAGCTCGTTGATTTCCCTGACTCGTCGCTTCCAACGCATTTCGATGCTCGCCTCAAGTGGCCTCAATGTCCTTCGATTTCACGAATTCCAAACCAAGGAGGATGTGGAAGTTGCTATGTACGTCAAGTTTTTTTCTGAAATTCTATGCTCTTCGAGGTAGTTCGAGCTTGAGGGTGAAGTTTATCAATCCCTTCCGAGGGATGTGCCCCCGCATTCGAGTTCATTCAGAATCGTAGTGACGTAATGAATGCGTGTGCAGCCTATACAATGACTTACGGTGGCCAATCAATGTAGTAGTCAGTGATTTTATCCTCCCGAATGAGTATGGTACTAATTAGACGATTTCCTAGGGATGGAAGGCTCGATTGACCTAGACGAATATCAACCCGGATTTGAACCATGGGTGGGTGTGTGATAGTGTGCCACTCGCCACTACACCACCTCGCCCGTCTCCGAGGTCGAGAGAATTAAACACGATTATCGTTCTACAGATCCATCACAGAATGGTCTACTTGGCCTCAGGGAACAGCAGGTGGCAAAAGCCGGTGCCTCAGTACTAGTTCGCTTTAAATTTTTTCAACAAATAATTCATATGATTCGTTCCTAGTAGCGTTGTGTATAACAGTGATCGACTACTGGCAGGGATATAATGTTCTTCTCTTCGCAAGTTCAAAAAGGGACCGCAAATTTACAGGGCTCTCCCGGACGAGATCACTCGCTGTGCTTTGTTTTACAGATTGAAGTTTGTTTTTCGCACCAGGCCGTAGTGTCATGACCGTTGTGCGTATATAACCATGAATATCATGATTATAGACTCGTTCGGTTTTTTTAATTCTGGTCCAAAATTGGGGACCTAAGTGCCTTACCGCGGAGCCGCTTTTCGCCTCTGCAGCAGTTTAGTTTACTTAGAATCTGGCAAGAGTGGAATCAACTACTCTCTGTAAGAAAGCTGCCAGTTCCAACTCAGGTTCCTTTCGCTTGAAAGTCCACCGTTGGATATTTGATTAAGCAGCTCTTCTCATTTGCTGCCTTCATAAAATTCATTTGATCAGGAGCAGTGGTTACTACCTGGATTTCGCAGCGAAAATGAAGTTATCGAATATTGTGAATCGATGAGGGTGGTCCTAGAATTACCTCGACTTTTGGAGCACTTTACGCCCTTGCGACCTCCCTTTGGCTTCTCAGTTAGCCACGCCAACTTTTGCATTCATCATACTTTATTTTTCCACATTTTTACAATTTTTTCCTACATATTCAAATGGTCACATGGCCTACAAAGTAGAATTTGTATCCTCAATGGCCAAAGTCCTTTCGTCCACGTGTATCAGTAGATGCATGGATCATATAGTAATGAGTAGATCGTTTTTCAACCAATCGCTTCTCAAAAGTGAGGTTAAAGGATAAAGTATTGGGGCGTTGATCAATTCCCTTAGAATGCGCCCCGCGTTCGACTTCCATTCAGGATCGTAGTGGCGTATGGAATGCGTATGTGCCTATAAAATGAATTGCGATGACCAGCCGATATACAAGTCGGTGCTTTTTCTTCTTAGGAAGACTTATAAATTTTACCGACCCAAGTAAGATGAAAGGCGGCCTGGTTGGCCTAGGCGGATATCGATTCGGGATTCGAACCCGTGAACATGAATGTGTGAAGTGTGGCGCTTGCCACTACACCATCTTCGCTTTATTCTTTATTCGCGCCTTATCTCTGCGAAATCAGTAGTTGGCGCACAGTATGGAAGAACGTGCGCACGAACATTTGCTACCAAGTCACCTTACGGGCCAAATGCTTATTCGACTGTCTTCAGGATTTTGAGTTAGTGCCTGGTCCGTGGCGCATCTTGAAACTAAAGACTTATTTCCACCACTAAGCCCATACTGAACCTTCGTTACAGTTGGTCACGGCTTCATTATATTTTCTTACCCAACACCATCTCCCAAATAACACGGGCATAAGGTTAACCTGTATTTTACTCTGCCAGAATTTGATATCGCTAGCTGTTTAGGCAGTCGCAGCTGCAGGAGTAGCATCGGATCGAGCCTGCATCAAGTCGAACGGGACGTTTCGAGCTTCACTCAGTGAAGAGGACATACTCGGTTGCTGTGCGGTCTGTGGCAACTGCTACGGTGGTGATCCGTTAAAGGCGCTCGTGTACTGGGTGAATGAGGGCGTCGTTACCGGTAGGTACTTTGTTGTGCTCCTCGGGGCTTGTCTCGTACTCATACTAAATTGCAGGAGGAAGAGATGGCTGCCGACCGTATTCGTTTGATCTGTCCTGCGGAGTACCCTGTTCACCTGCCACATTCTTTGGCGCAGAGAAAAATCGGATTTGCATTCGGCGATGTCAAGATATCTACTATCAAAACAACTACGAAAACGACAAGCACTATGGTTCGTTGTTCCTGTGTTCTGAACCATAATTTATAGACAGAGCAAGTTTGAGTCTTGTTGTCCAAAGTGATCCCAGACCGTCTTCATTGTGAACAAGAATAGGCCCTTTCAGCATCGTTGGCGTATTCAATGTATCCTCGAACTATGACGGTGAGCAGTGATGGCAGTCTCAGAGCGCAGGTTCCAACTATAATCGGCCACCTGAACAAAACCTCAGACACTCCAATGACTCTTACACAGGTAATCACTCCATTTGAGATTCTAGTCCTCCTGTTTTCCGTGAGCATCCGGTGATTTCTCCCGATTCAGATTAGGAATATCCTGAAGAAAGAAATTTCTTTATTTGGCCCTACAACGATGGCATTTCCAGTGTCTGAAGAGTTCCTGCACTACTCATCAGGTAGTTGACGCTTTTCTGGAGTGCCTTTGTAAATGTATTTGAGTGGTATTTTGGGTCAATCTGGGTCTCAACTGAATCCATTCAGGGATATTCCAACCATATCCTCTGGAAGACTTCGACAAACGAATAGTTTACTGGCACGTTGTTCGATTAATCGGTTGGGGTCAAGCGGAGGATGGATCTCACTATTGGACAGCCATCAACAGTTTCGGTGAACACTGGGGAGATTCAGGTAGGAAAAGTGAAGTCATTTCGAATATCGGAACTCGAGAAAGTCAATGAAAATGAAAAAAATGAATTTGGATAAAGGAGAAGTTATCCAAGTATGAGGGACGGCTAGCAAAATGTCAATAGTGAAGGGGAAAAGATTGCAATGGCTGTTTTTATAGTCCGTGATCCGGCCCGCGAGCGAGCGCGCCGGCCGGCAGAATCGGCCAAGATTCGGTTATAAACAAGGGGCAAGCGCCGCCCCCGGCCGACGCGCTCTCTCGCTCGCTCGCTCGCGCACTCGCGGATCGGGTCGCGGACTATGAAAGCAGCCAATGGAGGCATCTCGCCGTTGATGGGCTGCCTTCATGGGAACGGGGGTTTGACTTTATACTGAGGTCACATTTGGATTACAAGAAGATATTCCATGGCTTCACATAGAGGCCCGATCTATGGGAACGGGCCTGCTCAGCTGATTGTTTTAGGTGTCTTCAAGATC